AGAAATAAGCATGTAATCAGTTTGAAAAATATAATTTGGATGCAATTGTGCATTTTTCATATCTGAAAACAAAACCCAAACTACATTTAACATTGTGAACTATGTTCCTCTACCTCCAAGCCAGAGTGTGCAGTATTTCACTATCTAGTTGGTGGAACACAGAATCCAAGCTGCTTCCAGGGCAGCAAGATCAGGAACCAAACAACACCAAGATAAAGCTACTGCAAAAGAACCAGCTTTCTTTTCATATTCTAGCAATGATCTGGAATGCACTATCTGAAGGGTGGTGGAATCAGATTTTTTTTTTTTTTTTAAAAAGTCAACCTGTTTGGACATTTTATCAGAGTAGTAGAACTTGAAGTCCCATCTTCTAGCCCAGAGGTAGGGTCATAAAACCATTAACCAGACTCAATAACTACTTTCAACAGGAGACTGCAGCTGGATTGTCATGCAGCATCATTCAACAGTACGTTTTCACTTTTCATTTGCAGTACTTAATTTCAAACACTAGCTTAAAAGATAGCCATTTCTAGGTAATCTTGTATCTGTACTCTGTTCTATGGTCTGCCTGAAACTTTAAAGAACCTGCAGGTAAAGAGGTCACAGGCCTACCTAATTACCTTAGTTGAGGCCACAAGATGCTCTGGGATATTGTTGTGCAGCATTATACACTGAAAAAAACTGTTTTGACTGCATTGGCAACATGGCAGACTGTGTTGTAGATGTCCAAAGACAGCACATTAGGTAGAAAAAAAATACTGAGCTGTTCCAGAGCTAATTCCCAATATTTTCAGTGTTGTTTGCTGCACAAGGCCAGGCCATTGTGAAATACGAACAAATTGAGAGAAGTGGACAGTTTTTAAAATATTTACTGCACAGTTTTAACTTTTGATAGAGTGCATTCATAGGCAAAACTGAGCTGCAGACAGCCACCTAAAGTTTTGCTTAACTCAAGTCTGCATGCAGACCTCACCTCAAATTTTCTTGCATAAGCCTCTTTAAATAAGGTAACCATAATGCCCCACAGAACTTTAGATGCAGCCTGTCCAATGCAGCATACAGTTGTAACAAGGGTTCCCAACTTATATATTCCAACTTACAATAATGGTAAACTTTTCCTTTCTAACCTTTTACGATTTATGTACAAGGTCACCCAGATCTCAGTCCCACAACATTCTGCAGTCTCCATTTAAATTTTTTTTCCTGACAAAGGGAACAACTTGTATTTTCCTACATTATGTGCCAAAAAATTGCCTATTCAATTAATGTATCTACAACCCTTTACATTTTCAAGCTTTCTCAAAGCTTACTTTCCTATCTTGACGAATTTGACTATAATGCACTCAGTCCCTTTACCAAATCATTAACAGATTGCAAATAGTTGAGGTCTGATCCCTATGGCACTTCACTAGCTATTCTTTGCTACAGCATTTATAAATATTGAAAAAATACAGAAAGCAACTTTAATGTACACAGAAAAAGAACAGTATCTAAAGTGAGTGTTGGCCCTTGGAGGGCAAGACTGAGGAATTAGTGGTGGGGAAAACAAGACAATATTGGAGATGGAGTAGGCTTTTAAAATAAATCTGTCTTTACTGCAAAAAGCACAAAAAATTGCAAGAACATTTGACATGTTTTACTTCATTAGTTTAGAGAAGATTCAGTAGGATAATCCCCAGTATGAAGGAAATGTCTTATGAGCAAAGGTTAAGCAAGCTGAGACTCTACTCATTGTAATTTAGAAGAACAAAAGGTGATCTCGTTGAAATATATAGCGTTTAAGTGGCTTGGGAGGGTAAATGCTGAGGATACCTTCTCTCCTTAAGGGAGAATCCAGTGCCAGAGAACAATCTCAAAATTAAGGGGCACCAATTTAAGATGGAGATGATGAGGAATTTGAGGGTTATGAATCTTTGGAAATCCTTGCCATAGACTCCTGTGGGGGCAGAGCCCTTGTGTATACTTAAGGCTGAGATAGACTTTTGATCAGTGGGGAAATTGGGGTGACAGGGAAAAGGCAGGAAAGTGGACAGGAGGAATGCTGGAACAGCTATGCTTTTTGGAAATGGCAGAGCAGACTCAAATATCCTACTCCCATTCCTATTTCTTATGATCTCCTTGATCCCTTCTGGAAGGCAAATTGTATCATCTGACTGACTTGCTTCAATTTCTTCATTAGTTTATGTTCCTGCTTAGAAGCTAAGGAAATACCTCTGTTACAACATGCTCCACCTGAACTACTGCTTTAGTTTTAATATCATTTCCCTTGCTAATACAGCTTCTTCTCAGGATTCCTTAGGTATCCCTACCATTGCAATTGGTCTTCCATTTACCTTCTAGAAATTAACCACAGCATCCTGCATTATTACAATGGAAGCATATTGTTTTATTTACATCACATTCCACTCATTTATTACCCTAACATCTTGCTTGTTCCCTAAAACTAATTGCTTTCCTACATTTTCCATTTCCCCGATTTGTGTTGACTCCCATATGGTCATTTTCCCGCATCAGAGAGTGACAGATAGTCTGCCAGAGCTGCCATTTCTCAAATCTTTGATAATTAACACATCTAGATGAGTTCTGAATTCTGCCACAAAACTATTTCTGAATTCTGCCACAAAACTA